CCCCAAAACCCCAAAACCCCAAAACCCCAAAACCCCAAAACCCCAAAACCCCAAAACCCCACTCTTCCTAAAACATAAATAAAAAATGCATCCAAATCAAACACACAGCCCCATCCTTCCCCATCTTTCCCAGTCACCCCAAAGCCTGACTCATTCCTTGCCCCCTCCAAGCCCAACTGCTCTAAAATAATTCCACTCATAATCCTCCTCTTCCTGGCTTTCCCGCTAAACTATAAAGAGAGAATCTCATCTTTGCTTGGCTAGCAAACAGAAATGCAAAGGTTTTGAGGAATGTGAAGATGGAAAAGTGGAGCTTAACAGAGTAGAGGAACTGGAGATGAAGATGAGAAGGCTAGAGCCGGTGGTTGGGATATTGGAGAGAATAGAAGAAAGTGGGATGAAAGAATCTTTAGAGGAGGTTGCGATGGAGGTTTTAGAGCAAATGAAGAAAGGAAGTAGAGAAGAATTGGAGGAAGAGATTGAGAGAGTGAAGGAAAGCGTTGAGGTGTTAAGAAGTGAAATAGTTTCTGGGAAAGAATTTAATGATACTAAGAATAAGCTTATTTTGTTACAATCTGAGTTTACAGATTGAAGGAATAAAGTTGATGAAATTGAGGGTCAATTACATGATGCAAGAATACAAATGACTGATTCAGTTCCTCTCAAAACTTTTAAACGGGAGATAGAATCCCTTCGGTTTTCTTTACGAAGAGTAATATTAATATCTAATTTTAGATTGGAGCTGTAGAACACCAACTTACTAAACTATCAACAATAAGTGATGTTGATATAATTAGAACAGAGTTAGAAAAGAATTCCATTAATTTCAATAAATTCAAAGATCATATTTATGAAAAATATTATACGAAGGATAAAACAGATGAATTAGTGAAAACTTTGAACAAGAATAATGCAGATAAACTCGAAAGTATTTTCTATACCAACAATATTCTAGGCCTTGATGAAATTAGAACAAAAAATGAGGACTTAATGACCCAAATTAACAAACAAATCCACACAACCACAAAACAAATGAAATAAAGACCGAGAAATAGTCCAAAAACTCTTCAACAAATTCCAAACCCTCGCTACAAAAGAACAAATTCAAAAAATCGACGACCGAATAGGTACCTCTCCTCTCACCCACAGACCTCTACGCTTTAAAATAAAGACCTGAAGCTCACAAAATCCGACCTCCAGGCCACAATCTCCACTCTCTCCCTCCAAACCCTCAAGACCCACCAATCCCTCTCTCACAACCAAGAGATCATAGCCAGATTTGACGAAATAATAACCCAAAAAGCATCAAAATTCTCCTTAGCCGAGCTCTCAGCCCAGCTGAGACAAGACTTCACCACTAAAGGTATGTACGCAGAGGTCAAGTAGTAGGCGATGCTGAGAAGATGGAACAGCAAGTGGAGAAAGTAGCATTGGGGGTTAGCAAGGTGAAGGAACAGATTGAAGAGTAAGAAGGGGGTAGAGGGGGTGAATGGGGATTAGGTTGGGTTTTTAGGGTGCTGAGTGGTTTATAGGTATGTAAATGAGAGACTGATCAGTTCTAAGAATGAATTTATTGATCAAGTTTCAAAGAAGATTACAAAGTCTTATAAGAAATTGAAAGAAGATGTTAAAGTTAAGTATAAAGAAGAGAATATCACCACAAAGCCTGAAATTGATATGTTGCTATCCAGTAAAGTTGAGAGAGAAGAACTCGTAAAATGCCTTAAGACAAAGTTAAATATTGAAGAGCATGAGCTTGCAGTTCAAGGACTAGATACTCTTCATAAGCAAATTAAACACATCTGTGTAATATTGGCTGAATTTATACGACAAGAAATATCAAAATACAACAAAAAGTCAGACTCAATTTTAGAAAACAAGAAGAAAATAATGACAGTAATGGACCAAACAGTAGCTATCTCAAAATGGATCGACAAATTCAACCCCCAAGTCACCAAAGACCTCTCCTTCCCTCAATCCCTCCAAAACTTCCAACACACAGTCCAAGAAAACCTTGACTCTCTCAAAATAACTTCTCTCACCAGACCCTCAGATCTCTCCCACAAAAGTACACACCTCCTCATCTCTAGAACCCCACAAACCCCAAAACTCCTATTCTCAGTCCCCTTATCTCCATCTCCAGACCTCTCCGCCTCGCCGCCTTCCCAACCCCTTCACTAGCTCAACTTCCAAACCCTCCAAAATCACCAAGATCAAAATTCCCTTCCACTCAAATGCATCCCACCACCACTCCTACCTAAAAATCGATCTGCCTTATAACCTCAAGCCTCAAAGTCGCAACTTAACCCGGCTAAGCCGGGTTAAGGCTAACAGGACTTTTGAGCAGGAGGAAGATAGGCTTAATAGAGAGGAGTAGGTTCATAGAAGAGATTTTAGAGCGATTTTATATAGTGATTGGGGTTTTGGGGTTTTGGGGTTTTGGGGTTTTGGGG